CCAGTCGTCAGCACACAGCCTCTCTCCCTCTCTGGGTCTAGAGTCTCCAGCCTCTCCATTTCTCCACATCATTGTCTCTGACTCCATCTCTGGTGTCACTGTTTCTCTGGGTAGGGTCCTGTACCCCGCTCTACTCCCTTCATGGTCCCAGGGACATCCACTCCTGGACTGCAAAGTCACTATCCTCCTTCTGCTACAAAATGTCTTCCTTTATATTTCCAACCCTCACAGTCAGTCCTAATAACAATTATTCACTATTGTCCCACAAGAGACCGATTCCTCATCTCCTTTCATCAGCCCTGCCCAAACAGATTGGATACTACTCAGTGGAGATTCTACCTTCCTCTGCACCCTCTGGATCTAGGTTCCTTCTTGAAGGCTTGTAAGCCAGTCACTTCTTGCCTTTGTAGCCTCCTTATCCATTATCTTTTAATTCCATTTTTCCATGAACATTTTTAAGTTCCCTCATATACAGCTGGTGGATGATTAAGCTACAATCTTTTGGGTAAATGTTCCACTCAAATTCATTAAAATGAAAATCATACTTTCTACTTAAGAAAGGAATCCCACTAAATAGATCACCTAGAAAAACATAAAGTTTTTATGTTAAAATTTACTGTATTATCATTTATAATAGCAACATTCTGACAATAACTCAAAGGTCCAAGAACAATTAACAGTCAAAAGAATTATGATTTATTCACTCTATAAATCATACAGAATACTACGTAAATATTAGAAAGACTGACTCAAATAGTCATGTATTAAAGGATACTCATGATAAGTGGAGGGGGGGAATGTATGGAATAGTGCATATATTACTTTTCTAAGCATACAGCATCATGTGTTCATTTAGACTTGTATAAGCAGAGGGAAAATATCAAAGAAAACACGCCATATTGTGAAGAGTAGTATGAACGGGATGAAACGAAAACTAACAATTATACTTAAAATACATTCACAGTAATTAGTTCTCATTATCATATATGTAATTAATTGAACTATAAAATTGAAGCAAATCATTAAACTTTCAGATAGAACTTTTGTAGTTTCTAACTATCTAACATCAGCCAAGAAAGAGTCTTCTAAAACTTAAAGACAATTTTCCAAGACGGCTGGCTAGATCAAACCTAAGAAAAACTTAGTTCTTTTGACTCATATTATTCAGATTCTGAGTAAAAATAGTGAAATAGTAGTAAAATGTAGAACCATTTTTATGTTTGTATATACGAGTGAAAAAATATGCATGGAAACCAATCATAACACTGTTTCAGATATGAAAGACTAACAAAATGCAGAACCATTTTTATCTGCTTGTATATGTATGAGTGAAACAATGTGCACTGGAAACTCGCCATGACATTGACCATAACAATGCTTTCTTTTGAAACCAGTTCAGTATTTCAAAACAGTGTCTTTTTACTAAACAGTATTAAAATAGTATCTTAGTGGGTCTTGGAGTCCTGGTGTGGTGCTGTAGGATAAGCAATCAACCACAAGGTAGGTTTGAACTGCAAGGTCAGTAGTTCAAACTCACCAGCCATTTCTCGGAAACACTATATAGGGTTACTCTGAGTCAGAACCGATTTGACAGCACTTAACAACAACAAGTGGATCTTACTAAAGATTGATTAAATTAGTTTCCACGGGAAAAAAAAAAGATTACAAAAACAAAACAATGAAAATAATGTTCAATGCTAAGTTATAGTTTATAGCTACTAAACTGAAGTAATGGCTAGGGCTGACTTGAATATTACTTTGCTTTCCATAAGAGTTACAAATAACAAAAGAAGTAATGGTAGACATATTAGTCTTCAGAAAATGCACAAGACAAATGCTACATCTTTTTTCCTACCTTCACATTGTCTGGATGCAATCCCCCAGGGTGCTTGTCCATGTACTGACATAAATCAGTGTGCTAGAAGAAAAAAGAAAAAGTGTATTAACATCCCTCTGGCTATAATAAAATGAATCAATATTTCTCTACTTCAAAGTCACCATTACCTCTGAACAAAGCAAATATAAGGTAAGTGGATGGATATCTTGGTATATGCATTTAACCCTGCCAATTTTTAACCACAACTGAAACATTATTTTCACTTCTAGGCTTTGTTTTATGTTAAACATGTCTATTACACATGTACTTGAAAGCAAGTTGTTATTGTTAAGTTCAAATCCATAGCGACCGTGTATAGGATTTCTGAGGAACAGCTGGTGAGTTTGAACCACCAACCTTGTGGTTTAAACCAACTTTGCATTAACCAACAACACCACACCAGTACTTGAAAGCATATATGTTCATAATTTGTTGAGGACTGAATTTCTTCCTCACTGAATATACATCCCCATAATATAACTTAAAAAAAATTTTTTTAATCACAATTAACAAATCCAATTATAATCCCATTTACCTTGTATTTCCAAGTGCAAATGGAGATCATGATTATTTTATATGAGATGAAAATACTACAAATTGATTATACTTGAAAATTTCATCATTAGGCTTATTCAAAGTTTAATATCTGTCATGAAATATAATTTTGGGGCTTTCAGAAAGTCTGAATATATCTGAGTAAATATTTCTTATAAATTAATGTCAAGATTTCTAAAATTATGAATTAACACAATGAAACCAGATATGTTCAATAGACTATCCCAAGATAACATATTGTGTTATTCTTTTAAATATACCAAATTGGATTTAATCACAATCACATATTTTCTTCTTAAAGTTATTTTTGTTTATTTTATGCACCACCTTTCTTTGCAAAGCTCAATAAAAGGCAAATCTTTGACAAGTCTGAGTTTTTAAAACAAGAAGGATTTTTGCCAATGTAATCAATGTTAAGAAGAATAAAATTATATAACTAAACATGTGGATATTTAAAAACATATGGGAGTAAAAGGAGCTCTGGTAGCGTAGCGGTTACAAATCGGGCTGTGAACCGCAAGGTCAGCAGTTCGAAACTACCAGCTGTTCTGCGGGAGAAAGATGAGGCTTTCTGCTCCCGTAAAGATTTACAGCCTCGGAAACCCTGTACAGGGTCATTATGCGTCAGAACTGACTCCACGCACATAACAACAACTCCATGAGACAGAATAGACCCATCCAAAGGGTTTTCTCGGTACAATCTTTGCATAAGAATATCATCAGGTCTTTCTACTTTGGAGCTGTTGGTGGGTTTGAACCACCAATGTTTAGATTATTACCTTTAGGGTACTATGCCCCAGGGTCTCCCTATAACCATCATTAAATCAAAAAATCTGATATCCAGATAAAATGTATGTTTCTTTTATTATTATTACTAGAGACAGACTATTGAATTGGATTCTAGAAAGGACAGAAATTAAAGAGCTATACCTAAAAAAGGCACCAAATCCATATAATTTTAATAGAAAACTTTCTATACCTTCAAGAAGCAGATGCAAACTACTTCATAGTGCAGGAGGCCCTGTTGGGCCTTGGTTTGGCTAGCTTTGCTACTAGTCAAAGGGGTGAAAGGTCGGCAGTTGGGACCACTAAGTGGCTCCACTGGAGAAATGGCCTGGCTATCTGATTCCTAACAGATTTACAGCTAACCCTACCCTAACCTGAAAGGAGCTCTGGTAGTGTAGTGGTTACAAGTTGGGCTGCTAACCTCAAGGTCAGAAGTTCGAAACTACCAGCTGTTCTGCAGGAGAAAGATGAGGCTTTCTGCTCCCGTAAAGATTTACAGCCTTCAAGAAACAGATGCAAGAAACGGACACCCCATACAGGGTCACTATGAGTCGGAACTGACTCCAGGGCACACTACCACCACCACCATCAAACTTCATGGGGAGTCCTGGTGTGGCGCTGTGCGTTAAACCTCTGGAATGCAAAGTCAGTTTGAACCACAAGGTCAACTGTTCAAGCAAACCAGTCACTCATCAGAAACTCTATGCAGGGTCACTATGGGTCAGAACTGACTCAAATGCAATTAACAACAACAAACTTTATGGAGAGTGACCCTGTAGAAGAAGCACTGGACTGCTAACCACAAGGTCGGTAGTTTAAACCCACCAGCCACTCCTTGGAAACCCTATACAGGGTCATTATGAGTTGGAACCGACTTCAAGGCACTTAACTACAACAACAAACCCTCATGGAGTAGTTTTACTCTGTCTTTTAGGGTTGCTATGAGTTGGAATCTACTCCATAGTTGAAGGACATATAGGCTAGTCTATGAACAAAGAAAAAGATAAACAGATTCTCACTCCTTCTTTAAGGTTACAATGTCAAAACAGACATAAAGGAGGGAGAGAAAAGGAAGGGAAAGAATTAAACAAAATTCTCAAATAATAACAGATGCACCAATTCTAAAAATAACAGCAAGAGTCCTGGTGTGGCACTGTAGGATAAGCACTGAATCGCCCGCTGCAAGGTCAGCAGTTCAAACCCACTAGCCACTCTTCGGAAACCCTATACAGGGTTGCTATGAGTCTGAACCAACTCAATGGTACTTTATAACATTGCTGTAAAAGATTAATTAATACAAGATTAAACAAGATTAACACTAGGAATGGAGGAACATTTTAACATAAAAAAATCCTCTCTGTGTCAAATTACCCAATAAGGAAGACAAGCAAGGGCTTACTATTTATTAATCTGTAGTGAACAAGTTCACATTTGTTTCACTACATCATAGATTCTGCTCCTAGGTATGGCTGGCATTTTATCTCTTTTCCAACATCACAGGACCCTCCTATAAAATCAAAGTCTCTTTTCAGATTTATAACTCCCAAAAAGGCCAGGGAGTCCTGGTGTGGCACTGTGGGTTAATGTGCGGGACTGCAATGTCAGTTTGAACCGCAAGGTCAACAGCAGCTCGCTATGGGTCGGAACTGACTCGATGGCACTTAACAACAACAATAATAGGGACCAAGTATCCAATAAGCAAGGTAAGCACAGGAATACTTGTGCTTATTTACTAATCTGTAGTAAACAACATCACATGGGTTCCTCCACATCTTCACTATAGATTAGTAAGTACACAAGTAAGCCTGTACTTACCTTGCATATTGGGTAATGTGCCCCTCGATCCCTTAAAACTACAGAATGGAATGGCAATGGGTATGAAAGAACTATTATGTATTTGAGATATATTTGTTAAATGCTGATTATGTGAACAATTCCTTGCTTTCATAAATCTAACAGTCTGGGAATTTTGTATACTTGCAAAATATTTTTTCCAAGAAAACTAAAGGATTCAATTTTGATATTGTTTTTTTAATATGAGAAAGAAAACATTAAAGTAGGGAAAATATTCTGGTCTTCAAGCAACACATAATGTCCTTATAAGGACATGATGGCAAGTGACATCAATAACATAAATTGTATACAAGAGGGCTTCACCAGAAAGAAAATTTTGAAAATTTAATAAGTTTCAAACCGTTTAAAATTTAAAATGTGTTATTTCCTACAAATATGTGCATGCGTACACAAACACACAACTACCATACACACGCACACCTGGTTATTACTAACTGTGTAACCCTGGGCAGATTGGTTGTTGGAAACATTAAAGAGTAAATATACAAAGCGTTCGGAACATTGTTCAGGATGCACTATAGATGATGATGAAAATGATGATGAAGGTGATGAATTTCTGTGGTATGTTTAAACCTAACATAACCTTAGAGTCCCGATGTGGCGCTGTAGGATAAGCACTGCTCTGAGAGCTACAAGGTTGGTGGTTCAAGCCCACCAGCCATTACTCAAAACCCTAAACAGGGCCACTATTAGTCCGAACCAACTCCACAGTGTTTAACAACAACAAACATAACCTTGTTTGCCTAAAACGAACAGGACTTGAAGGACTCACTGATGAAGACCAAAAAATACAGCTTTCAGTATGGATTGTACCTCAAAGTAAAGATAATGAAAATTCTCACAAATGGACTAATAAATAACATCATGATAAATGGAGAAAATACTGAAGTTGTCGATGATTTCGTTTTACTTTGATTTTCAATCAGCACCCATAGAAGCCGCAGTCAAGAAATCAAATGACAAATTGCATTTGGCAAATCTGCTGCAAAATCAGTGCTAAAGAGCAAAGATGTCATTGTGAGGACTAAAGTGTGCTTGACCCATGCATTCTCAGTTGCTTTGTATGCAAAACCTGGACAAAGAATAAGGAACACCTGAGGAGAATCGATGCATTTGAATTATGCTGTTGGCAAAGAATATGGTAAGCAGCATGGACTGTCAAAAGAACCAAGAAATCTGTCTTGGAAGAACTATACTCAGAATGTATGAGGATGCAAGATTCTAGAGGATCTGAGGTAGAGGAATGGGCAATGGATACACTTTCCCTTAGAATCGTGTTTCACAAACTTATATTTTTATGATGAAAGTTGTTTCTTTTCCTTCTTTTTTTAATGCACAGTACCATTCTTGGAACTGCATTGTTGTTGCTAAGTGCCCTTGAGTGATTGTTGTTGTTGTTGTTGTTGTTGTTGTTACGTGGCACTGAGTTGGCGTTGACTCATAGCATCCCTGTATAGGGTTTCCAAGGAACAGCTGGTGGGTTTGAACTGCCGACCTTGTGGTTCGTAGTCCAGTGCTGAACCACAGTGCCACACCAGAAGTCCACCATTGAATTAGATGTACCCCAATTCCAAATTTCATTACATGTTTTCTTCCTTTTTATTTTTTTCCTTGGTTCTACTCATGATGTGACCCTTGAGATTCAGAAATGCAGGACTTAACAACGATGCTATAAGGCACTTCTCAGTTACTTCATTTTTTAAAAAAGTCATCCTGGGTATATAGATTCAGAACACAAAGCGACATGACTAACAGATCAATCTTCTCTTCTGAGGTGCTGCAAATCTCAGCTCCTTCCAGCTTCATCTCTAGCTGTTTCTTGTTCTAATACCAGAAAGAGCATCTAT